GATACGAAACCGTTTCCCCGGGAACTGTTTCCCCGGAACCGCTTCCCCGGGACCGTTTCCCCGGAGAACCGTTTCCCCGGAGACCTCTTCCCCGGGGACCGCTTCCCCGGAGGAGCGTTTCCCCGGGACCGTTTCCCCGCTTCCGTTTCCCCGGGAACGCTTGCCCGGAACCGTTTCCCCCGATCCGTTTCCCCGGAGCCGGTTCCCCAGAACCGTTTCCCCGCAGCCGGTTCCCCTGGACCGTTTCCCCGGTGCACCGTTTCCCCAAAACCGCTTCCCCGGAACCGCTTTCCCAGATCCGTCTCTGCCACGACGACGATAACAACGATGGCGGCGACGACGGCGACGAAGACGACGAAGACACCGACGAGGAGGACGACGACGACGACCACGACGACGAGGACGACGGAGACGACGACGACGACGACGACGACGACGACGACGACGACGACGACGAGGACGAGGACGAGGACGAGGACGAGGACGACGACGAAGACGACGACGGTGCCGACTCCGACAAGGACGACGACGACGACGACGACGAAGACGACGACGACGGTGTTTTTTCTCCTGCTCATCCTCCCCGTCCTCTTCCCGTAGGCTTCCCTCGCGCTCCTCCTGCTCCTGCTCCTGCTCCCGCTCCCGCTCCTCCTCCTCCTCCTCCTCCTCCTCCTCCTCCTCCTCCTCGGACCTCCAGCAAAGCAAGCCCGCCCACAACAGTCACAGTCACCCAACGCCCGTTTTGGCGCAGGCGTTTTCCAGGCGACGGCCTCCCCTCCTCCTCCTCTACCTGCTCCTCTTCCTCCTCCTCCTCCTCCTCCTCCTCCTCCTCCTCCTCCCCCTCCTCCTCCTTACCTCCTCCTCTCCTAACGGCGGGACGGGTCGGTCGGGCGGGCGGGCATATAAAATGATTGTGCATCATCGAGATGGCACTCGATACTCTAACGGGCGGGACGGGTCTGGCGAGCGCGCGAGCGTGCGGACCCAACGGGCCAACGGCCGGGTCGGGTCGGGTCGGGTCGGGCACCCTGACGGGCGGGACGGGTCGGGTCGGGCGTGCGGGACATTAAAGAATGATGCACCGTCGAGTTGGCAGGCGAGTACCCTAACGGGCGGGACGGGTCGGGCGGGCGGACCCTAACGGGCGGGACGGGTCGGGTCGGGCGGGCGGACCCTAACGGGAAAGGTCAGGTCGGGTCGGGCGGGTGGGACATTAAAGTATGATGTGCCATCGAATTGGCACGCGAGTGCCCTAACGGGCGGGACGGGTCCGGCGGGCCGTCGGACCCTAACGGGCGGGACGGGTCGGGTCGGGCGGGCGGACCCTAACGGGCGGAACGTGGCCCCTCGAGCGGGCGGACTAAATAAGTGCCCACACGTGTCGGTTGGCACGCGAGTAACCCTAACGGGCGGGACGGGTCGGGTCGGGCGGGCGGACCCTAACGGGCGTGTCGGGTCGGGTCGGGCGGGCGGGACATTAAAGTATGATGCATCATCGAGTTGGCACGCGAGTACCCTAACGGGCGGGACGGGTCCGGCGGGCGGGCGGACGGGTCGGGTCGGGCGGGCGGACCCTCACGGGCGGGACGGGTCGGGTCGAGCGGGCGGGACATAAAATAATGGTGCATCATCGAGTTGGCACGCGAGTACCCTGACGGGCGGGACGGGCCCGGCGGGCGGACCCTAACGGGTGGGTCGGGTCGGATCGGGCGGACATTGAAGTATAGTGCGCCATCGAGTTGGCACGCGAGTGCCCTAACGGGCGGGACGGGTCCGGCGGGCGGGCGGACCCTGACGGGCGGGACGGGTCGGGTCGGGCGGGCGGACCCTAACGGGCGGGACGGGTCGGGTCGGGCGGGCGGACCCTATCGGGCGGGACGGGTCGGGTCGCGGGCGGGCGGGACATTAAAGTATGATGCATTATCGAGTTGGCACGCGAGTACCCTATGGACGGGCGGACGGGTCCGGCGGGCGGGCGGACGTGTTCGGGTTCGGCGGGCGGACCCTCACGGGCGAGACGGGTCGGGTCGAGCGGGCGGGACATAAAATAATGATGCATCATCGAGTTGGCACGCGAGTACCCTAACGGGCGGGACGGGTCCGGCGGGCGGACCCTAACGGGCCGGTCGGGTCGGGTCGGGCAGACATTAAAGTATGGTGCGCCATCGAGTTGGCACGCGAGTACCCGAACGGGCGGGACGGGTCTGGCGGGCGGGCGGACCCTGACGGGCGGGACGGGTCGGGTCGGGCGGGCGGACCCTAACGGGCGGTTCGGGTCGTGTCAGGCGGGCGAGACATTAAATAATGATGCGCCATCGAGTTGGCACGCGAATACCCTATGGGCGGGACGGGTCGGGACGGGTCGGGTCGGGTTGGGCAGGACGGGTCGGGTGGGTGGCCCTCGATGATGGATGAGGGAGGAGAGGGGAGGAGGAAGTAGGGAGGGATGAGGGATGTGGGGCGGGGGGACGTAGCGGCAACGAGGGATGGGGGAGGGCGGGAGGGCAGAGAGGGATGGATGAGGAGGAGGAGGAAGAAGAGGAGGAGCAGCAGCAGCAGCAACAGCAGCAGCAGTGTAATGAGAGAGAAAAGCAGGAGGGAACCGCCTCTGTGGAACCCATCCTGTGGAACCGGTCCTGTGGAACTGCAGTCCTGTGGAACCGGGCTTGTGGAACCGTTTCTGTGGTACCGGTCCTGCGAAACCGGTCCTGTGGAACCGGTTCCGTGGAACCGGTTCTGCGGAACCGGTCCTGTTGAACCGGTCTTTGTTGAACCGGTCCTTGCTGAACTGGTCGTCTGTTGAACCGGTGTCTGTCGAACCGGTCGTCTGTTGAACCGGTCCCTGTTGAACCGGTCGTCTGTTGAACCGGTCTTCATCTTCCGGCCAGACCACCTCTCGCGCGGCATCTGGGAGCTCAGAGTTTCGAGGATGTCTGAGGCGAAACGGGCCAGACCATCTCTTGCGCGGCATCTGGGAATCCCACCAGCCCTTTGGGCGTGAGTGGTTTAGAGAGCTCTCTCTGTCCTCAACCCCCCAACACCCCTTCTTCCCCTTCGGGGAGGGGTTTACCCCTCCCCCTACCCCCTCCCCCTGGGCCTGGAGAGGGAGTTCCGCGGGTCGTTGGAGGGGTCTTTTTCGACTCCTGGGAGGGCCAAAAAACGACAACCCTCACGAGGATTCTGGCCCCGTCGGGGGGATACAGAAAAAACCCTCTCCTCTTCTGTGAAGCCAAAATCATTGATTTTACTATGGTTTTGGCCCCATTTTGGCCTTCTGAGGGGGCAGCGCTCCTCTTCCTTCTTCTCAAAATCATTGATTTTACGAAGGTTTTGGGCTCACTTTGTCCTTCTCAGGGGGTAGCGCTCATTTGCGCTTCTGAGGAGGTCGCAAGAAGCCCCCAAGAGGCCCCAGGAGGCTCCCAAGAGGCCTCCAAGAGACTCCCAAGAGGCCCCCAAGAGGCCCCCAGAGGCTCCCAACAGGCCCCCAAGAGGCTCCCACGAGGCCCCCAGAGCCCCCAAGAGGCTCCCAAGAGGCCCCCAAGAGGCTCCCAAGAGGCGCCCAAGAGGCCCCAAGAGGCCCCCAAGAGGCTCCCAAGAGGCCCCACGAGGAGCCCGAACGACTCACACCAGGACGAGGGGCCCGAACGACTCACACCACGAAGAGCCCGAACGACTCACACCACAAGGAGGGGCCCGAACGACTCATACCAGGACGAGGCGCCCGACCGACTCACACCACGAGGAGCCCGAACGACTCACACCACGACGCGGGCCTCGAACGACTCACACTACGAGGAGCCCGAACGAGTCACACCAGGAGGAGGGGCCCGAACGACTCACACCAGGATGAGGGGCCCGAACAACTCACACCACGAGGAAGCCCGAACGACTCACACCAGGACGAAGAGCCCGAACGACTCACACCACGAAGAGCCCGAACGACTCACACCAGGAAGAAGGGCCCGAACGACTCACACCAGGACGAGAAACCCCAAACGACTCAAACCACGAGGAGCGCTTTCTCTCCCTCCTCCTCCGCCTCGTCCTTCTCCCGCTCCCCCCACAAGGAGGATGTACAAGGAGGCGGGAGGAAGGAGGAACAGGGGAGATATGCGGGCCCAAGCGGACGCACGCCTGAAAAACACGACTGTCGGCATGCTTCGCAAGAGTTGCTGCTGTGAGATGGGCTGGTGGGGATACGCGAAGCGTAAAGAATTCAGAGTTTGCAGGATGTCTCACGCGAAACGCCCAATCCGAGACAACTCAGAAACGAGAGATGCGAAAATGTCTTAGGCGAAACGGCCTGGACCGCCACATTTTTTGAGAACGTCTCTGCTTTGAATTCTCCCGGCCAGAGTTAGCGTCTACAACAACAGCACCCCGTTCAGCAAGCTGTTTGGGGAAAAATATAGATTAACATTGAAACCCTAAACCCAAATACAGAAAGCCGTGGGTGGACAGCCGCCCTTCCGGCGCAGGGTGGGAATGTGAGGAGCGCTGTCTCCGTAGCCAGAATATGAGACAACTTACGATCTCACAACAACAAGACTACCCCATCCCCACTCCATTTTATGGGTGGGGGTTGGTCCACATTAAGGGTGTTCCAGGCGCTGACGGAAAAAACCTAAACCCTAAACCCTAAAGTGAGGGGGCCAGGAAGAAGGGGGGGGGGTCGCATCGTGGCCCGAGGCATGTGCGCGGACGGAGTGGGGCCGGGGAACGTGCCGCAAGAAGGGGCGGCAATGACATCGGGGAGCCTGAGCTGTCACGCAGCCCCCAGTCAACACCCCTCTCTTCGGACGACGCCTGGCGGCTTCCGGGCCCCGACTGTAGCCCTCTCGGCGGCCCTCGACGCAGCGCAGCTGCTGGAGAGCATCCCGAGGCGAGAAACCCCCCAAGAGCCGACGAAATCTCCCCGCCCTCCCCCTTCGACGACGAAGACACGCCATCACCACCCTCCTGGACGCCGCCGACGGCGGGGGGGCGTTGGCGCGGGCCGCCTCCGGGAGACTCGGGCCCTCCGACACAGGACGCAGCGAGACTGCGTACCGCAGGGCCTCGGCGCCGGGGGCACCGACGGAGGCACGAAGCACAGCGAAAGAAGCAGAGAGTGAGAGCGAGAGGGAGAGGAGATATAGAGAGAGCAAGGGAGAGCTCGCATGCCTCCCTGAGAGGAGAGAGAGGAGAGAGGGAGAAAAAAGGAGAGAAAGGGAAAAAGAGAGAGAGAGAAAGACAAAGAGAGAGAGAAAGAGGGACAGAGTGCGCTTCCCTTCCTATTTCCTCTTCCGCCTCTTCCAAGATGCCTCCTCCTGATTCTCCTTCGCCGATGCATCGGCAATAGGTCCCCAATGGTGGAACTGCACGGTCCAGGGCGCGGGCTATCGGGCGCCTGCCGGCGATCACTGGACGATTGCGGGCCGATGCGCCCCCCATGAGCCCATCACCCTCCAGTGTGGCCCCGAGAGAGGGAGGTGCAAGAGGGAGGCCTGTCTCGGGGCAGTCCCTCGACATCTGCCGCGCCATGAAAACATGGCGTGCGCGCGTGAACCCGCACGTCCGTGTCCGCCGCATGGTGGCCACAGCGCCGCGAGGGCACTGAGATTGGCACGACCGCTGAAACACATTCGACGCACCAAAGGCCTCCCTCATCGGCCCGGGACCCCTCACAGCCCCAAGGATAGGGTTGGACTGGATCGTCGGGAGAAAGGCACTCCTCAGGACCTCGCGTGCCTCTCGGCTGGCGGATGCTCTGGTAGGTAGCACATCACAAAATGGAAAACAAAATCGGAGTACCGCGCCAGAACGGATTTCTCAGCCAGAGGCGCCGCCAGGGGTCCACACGCAGGATGGCGTCTAGCGGGGTCAATGGGTGCGGAAGTTCCACAGCCTGGCTTCAGAAAACCCCTGTTGCTGCGCAACGGTTGTTTCCAGACGCAGGAGTCGACTTATAACTACTTCCTTGCATTGCACCCTGAGAGAGCAAAAGGCAGACAGAGAGAAACGGAGAGCGAGAGAGAGAGAGAGATAAACAGACTGGACATATACCTTTTTGGCGTGGCCATAACCCTGACACCGGAATCAGGCAATGATGATTCCAGATTCGCTTTGACTGGCGCCCCCACCGTTACTATACTGAATATCCTCGGCTTCTCTCTTTTTAGGACACCCAGAACCAAGAATTGATCGCCTAATTGTAAGGCTTCGGACTGCGCACAAACAGCCCCCCCAGGTAGTTCCCGCTGGCCTCACCAGGCCCCCCGAATCCCCGTTGGCCTCAACAGGCCCCCCGAAGAACCCGGGGCGGTCTCGACGCCTCAAACCTAGGACGCAAAGCGACCCAGGAGCGCCGCGGGAGGCGGCGCGAAGGTGTTGAGACCGCCCTGGTCTACTCGGGGGGCCCTTTGAGCCCATCGCGGACTGCTCGGCGGCCTGTTGAGGCCAGCCGGGGTATACCCAAGGAGGGCCGTCAGCGCGCGGCCCGAAGCGTTACCGTCCCCAAACTCACGTGGACCGTAGCGACGTAGACGACGACGAACAGGAACAGAACGCCGGTGACGGAACCGACAGTCGGGCTGCACGGCGGCTTGTGGCGGGCCGCCGGAGTGAAGCACCGCGGGCCTTCTCAGCCTCCAGCTGGCGCTGGCCGCAGCGCATCAGGAAGCGGGCGTACTCGAACCTCGTCGAGGGGAACGGAGAAGGAGGAGGACGACGAGGAGAAGATGAGGACGAGGAGAAGAAGAGGACGAGGAGGAAACAAAAAAATGACGACGACGGCAAGGCAAAAGGAGAGGTGGAGACACGAGGAGCAGCGAGGCAGAAAGAGAGACGAGGCCACGAGGAACAGGAGGGTCTACGTCCTTTCCCCCCCTCTGGACACTACCTTCCTCCCGCCGCTCCTCTACAATGATATTGGTTGCGAGCATGGGTCGCCGCGGCCACCATCTTGCCATTTTTCTCCTCCCGCGCACTCTTCTTCCTAAGCACGGGGCGCAAATTTAGACCACTCTTTTTCCGAAACGCTGGGCAAAGTACTTGCGCTAATTTGCCCCCGCGTACATCCGTCGCGCCAGGAAGGCACCGTGCTCATCGCCTGACTGCCTGTCAGTCTGGGCACCCGCGTGACCTGGTTGATCGGCCGCAAACAATTCAGATACACAGCGTCGAGTCCAACGACGCGGAGGAGGAGGAAAAGCAAGAGGAGGAGGAGACGAGGAGGGGCGGAGGAGAAGAAGGCACACACATTGCTGAATGAACCGTCTTCGCATCAATCTGGCCCCGCGCTTTTGACGGGCATGGCGAGATCCGAAAGCTATTAACCACAGGTTTCGAGCGAACTGCGCCTGCTATAAGCCTCTCGCCGGGTCAGAAGGCACCAGGTGCTCTAGAATGTTGCACTGGTGCCGCCTAGAAGAAGTGCTATCGGAAGGGGAAGGGAAGAGTTGTGACATTGCCGCCGACGCTCGCGCGTCGACCTGAGTAAAGCCATGGCCTGCGAATGCCCCCGGATCCCCTCACGGACGCAACCTGCGAAGAGGCCACAGGGGAGTTTCGCAGAGTGGCCACCACGGCGCCTCGCATTGCGTGCACAGAACAAAGCAAACACACTGAGCGCCCTCAGCGCGGAAGCCTTTTGGCCGTCCGCGCGCGGCGCCCCATCTCGAAAGAGGCGGGAGGTGGAAATGAGCAGGAAGTCTGCCAGGGCCACGTCGTGCTCAGGGCCCCAAACTCAGGTGACGACGACAGAGGTCGTGACAAATGTGGCAATGGCAGTAAGACTGGATCGAATCATCCGCCGTTGGGCACAACCCCCAAGAGGGGCCAAAGAGGCCAACGTCTACGATTGCCCTTAGGTGTTTGATGAATGTTGGCACGCCCGTATATCCAGCGGCCAACGATCGGAGTTCCGAGGCTGCTTCGCGACGGCACCCAGGCATCGCAACATCGCTTTTGCATGCCCCATTATCGGAGAGAGGGGGCCTCCTCCTCCTCCTCGACTGAAGGGCAGAGTTAGGGGATGGAGACCAGCTCAGGGGAGGGGGAGGGGGGGGGAACTTCGAGGTGGAATCGGCGAGGCATCACCGATACCTAGGCGGCAGGCCCCCCGATGATGACTCCGCACGGTCCTGGGCGCTCTGGGTTATCGGGCCCCCAGCGGGGATAAACGGGCGATGGTGATTACCTACCAGACCACCCCAACCCAACCCGAAGACCCGAATTTCGGGTTGGGGGGGGGATACAGGGTTCATATGTTTTTTTTCCCATGTTCCCCTACCCCCCCTCCACACACTGGATATGGAGGGCAGATCGGGGCCTTCGGCTTGGTTGGGTTTGGGGTGGTTTGGTTGGCGGTGAGATGGGGGGTCGATGCGTCCCCCGCTGAGCCTCCCCCCCCCTCCCCCCCCCGGCGTCGCCCCTGACGACAGCCTGCCCCCGAGCCCCGCGGAGCCAAGTCTCGCCCTTCTCCACGTTCCGCCCGAGCGCGAGCCTGTCCTCGGGCCGCGCGCATCGCAGCGCGGCGGCGGCGGGTCATCGGCGGGATCCCCAGGCCCCCGACGTCGCATTACAGTGGAGGCCAGTCCACAAGAAGCCTCCCGCAAGGAACCCAACTCTGAGACCCCAGGACGTCCATGCACTGCTGTGGTGTGGCAGCGTGACGCTTTTCGGTGCAAAACCATCGAAACCCAAGCAAACCAGGGCACCCTGGAGGCAAGCAGGGTTTCTTGGCATTGGTCCCCACTGAATGTCACAACCACGTTGTGAAATTTACTACGTGGGGGGTCTGGACAAGGGAGATCGAATCAGAGTGGGATGGTAGCAATGTGGAGAGCGCCCATCACGCGTGGAAAACACGATAACAAACAAATGACCAGGGAGATCGAACAAGAGTGGCATGATAGCAATGCGGGGGAGCGCCCGTCACGCGCGGGAACACACAGTTTTTGTTTAAGGAAAGCAACTCCAGCGCTTGCCTGTCCGACAACGTGGGCCCCTGAAGGTCTCGACCCCTTCCTCAGGGCCGTGTTTTCACCTTGCGTCGTTTTGTTGACGGTCCCGGGGCCCCGTACAAGGCCCCCAAGCGGCGATGATGGAGAAAGCCTCCCGTCATGCTCTTTCTTGGCCCGGTAAGAACCCCCCCGGAGGGGCGAAAATGCAAGGAAACCCTCCCGACGCATAGTTTTCTTGGCCCAGAAACACCCCAAAGGCCGAAAATGGAGGAACAACTCCCGTCGTTTCTTCGCACGACTCGAGGGGGTCTAGTACGCGGGCGAGCCAGCGTTTTTCTTGGCCCCGTTACACAAGCCCCGAAGGGCCGACAATGGAAGAACTCCCACCGTGTTTTGTCTTGAACCAAGAAATTGCCTCAACGGCCAAACATGGGAGAACACAAACAACTCCAGTCGCCATGTTGGTTGCAAGACGCGAGGGGGCCTCAGGCGAGGGCAGTGCAAACGCCGCCAATGATGATGATAGTCCGCTCCAAATATGTTGGTTTCCTTCTAGCCCAGGATGTTTGCTCACGCTGTCTTAGAATGTATTGAGTGCCCGCTTTCGATCGTAATGCTCTGGCGAGTAATCTTTAGAATATGAATACAATATTGCGACCTCGTGCCTCAATGACTCAGCAGAGCCAGGCGTGAGCGTGGTGAAAATGTGTCAGGGGGATCTTGTAAGCAAGATTTGGGACCGACGACGGCGACGGCGGCGGCGAAACGACGAGCGGCGCCGGGGTCTCAGCGGCGGCGGCGCCGCGAGAGGGCGTCCTCCTCCTCCTCCTCCTCCTCCTCCTCCGCCTCGTGTACGCAGCAGCAGCGCTGGACTAGGCCCCGCCGAGGCACGCGCGCACGATGACGTCCTCGTTTCTCCCCCATCTTTCTTTCCCCCTCTCTCGCCTCGCCATCAAGGACGCGCGGTGCGGATCACTCTCCAGGCTGAGATCAGGTCACCAGATGGTCTCAGACTGCTGATTCGGTTCACCTATGACCTCAACGGCAAGTGCGCACGAAAAGGAGCGGAGCCCAACGTCAGCAGCTACAACAGCGGCGACCAGGCGAAGCTTGAGCTCGATCCCAGCAACGGCAGCGCTGGGATCAGGGATAGCGCCGGTCAGACACCTAGCTGCGAACAGCGGGAGGTGAATTCCGAGCCCGATGTCATCAGCTACAGCGCTGGCGACGGCGAAGGACGAGTGGCGACGGCAAAGGACGAGGCCGACGTCAACAGCTACAGTGCGACGACGACGACGGCGAGCAGGGAGCACGAAGGCGACGGGACGGCGAAGGACGAGCCCAACGTCGTCAGCCCCAGCGCGGCGACGACAAACAGTCACTGCGAGCGTGAGCGAGGGGACGGGGAAGCACAAGCCCCATGTCACCAGTTACAGCGCTGGGATCAGGGCACACCAAACGGCGGCCTCACGTCACGTGAGGAAGGCGAACAGGGGCAGCAGGCTCTGGCGCTCGCCACTTGTCGAGAAGGTGAAGACGAAGCGAAAGCCCGACGTCATCGCTCGCAAACCTGGGATCAGTGCGAGCGAGAAGGCCGAGATCCCATCCTGCGAGGAGCGGGGGGCGAAGCGGGAGCCCAAACTAGTCACGAATAGTGCTAGAAGCAACAAGTGCGAGAAGTGAGAGACGGAGCTGGATCCTAAGGTCGTAGTCTACTCCGCCGTGCAAAACTTGTGCGAATAAGGGCGGGCAGTGGTAGCAGGCTCTAGCGCTACTCAACGAGAGGTGGAAGGCGAAGCAAAAGCCCGACGCCATCAGCTACAATGCCTAGCTGGAGTCCGAACGGGACGGCGACAACGCCGGGCAAAGCGCGTGCGAGACAGGCGAGCAGTGGAAGCAGGCGCTGTCGCTACTCGACAAGAGCAGGAAGGCGAAGATCGAGCCCGATATCATCAGATATCCGCCACTGCACTGCTGGCAACAGCATGTGCGATACGAGCGAGCTAGGGCAGCAGGCTCAGCGTGATCAGACAAAGGGGCAGGCG